AAAACGTTGCCCCACACTAGGATTTTCTCCTGTGTCGTGGGTGCGTTTACAAACATACAAGTTCACATACACAATGACACCCAGACCCGAAACAACAATTTGTGGATCACACAAAGTGTTGTCCCGTGCGGGAATCGAACCCACGACACGTTGCACGGGAGCCGGTTGCCCAGCCACCGCACCAACCGTGCAGTCAAAGAAGTTTTGTATTGTGAACAGTGATTTATAATCATTAATGAATTTCCTTTCACTAGTAGTTACCGCATGAGTCTTGAGATGTGCCTGGTGCGTGTACTTGGACGCGAAGGCCTTGTGGCAGACGGTACAGACGTGGGGCCTGGCGCCGACGAGCACGTTGTTTATACTTACCGCATGAGTCTTGAGATGTGCCTGGTGCGTGTACTTGGACGCGAAGGCCTTGTGGCAGACGGTACAGACGTGGGGCCTGGCGCCGACGTGCACGTTGAGATGGTCCCGCAGCAGGCCGCGGCTGGCGAACCACTTGCCGCACGTGGTGCAGCGGTGCGCGCCGCGCCCGCCGCCCGCCGGGGACTTGCCCTCCGACACGTGCTCCGCTGGCAACCGACCACAGTATAAGTATATGAGTTACAGCGAACGTTATTAATTTCATATTATTCATAATAACCAAATCGCTTAGTCAATGTGATGAATTAATCACTTTAACCAGATATTATACTTCAGTCAAAAAAGTATCGGGAATGGATGATTTGTTTATGGTTCAAAATTCAAATTGTTATCGATCAAAAATCAAAGTTATATAGACTGTTTTCTTTGACTACCGCGGTGTTGTGCACTCTGAATTCTTATCGGGAGATCTAACAGAAAATAAAGGATATTATTTGAGCTTTATGCGGCGTTTAAGAGAGCAAATTCGACAAAAAATTCCAGATTAGTGGAAAGAATATTCTTGCTATCATTGTGAACGAATTTTTGACCAAACACTCAATAGATATGCTGCCTGCTGACTTTTTCCTAAACTCAAATTACCGCTTCGTGGCACCCGTTTTCAACCGATAGAAGACATAAAGGAGAATTCGCGGCAAGAACTGAACTCAATTCCGGAAACAGCGTTTAAAAAATGTTTTGATGAATGGATTATTCGTTGGCGCAAGCGTATCGTTCCTAAAGGAGCATACTTTGATTGAAGGTGATAAAATAAATTTGGATGAATAAGATTCATTTTGTGTATTATTGATCTTTTCCCGGTACTTTCTTGACAGAGTAGTAAATAATAGCAGGCTCGAGGTAACTAAAGTGATAAATACGATCTAACGACCCCGTCACAAGTGCGGTCTTAGCAGTGAGCAGGGTGGCGACGGTAAAAATCCCGGCTGGTCGACTAGCCGAAATGAATACGGCCTGAGTCAAAATCAGCCGCTCCTCGAAATGTTTAACTTTTCATTATGGGTTTAGCTGTGATGGTTTCCGAGAGTGGTAAAAGTGATGGTGCTGTGAAACTAAACTCAAAATGGCGGCTGCACGAAATTTCCAATTCGTCTTGGGTGTCGTTTTCATTGTTTTCGATGGTGGTAAAACCAATGGTGCTGTCAAAATGCAAATACATAATGGCTGCTACCCGAAATTTTCAATGTATCGTAATGGTTGTCTTTTACATGGTTTTCGAGGGTGGTAAAACCAATGGTGCTGTCAAAATGAAAATCCAAGATGGCCGCTTCCCGAAATTTTCAATTTGTCGTCATGGGTATAGCTTTCATGGCTTTCGCGGGTGATTAAAAAAATGGTATTGTCAAAATGGAAATCCAAGATGGCCGGAGCACGATATTTTCAATTTATCGTCATGGGTGTCGTTTTTATGGTTTTCGAGGATGGTTTAAAATGGAAATCAAAGATAGCCGCTGCCCGGACTTGACTCTTAGCTTAAACGACTTTTTCGATATTTCCCTATACATTATACCAACAGAATCCAAATAAACCTAGAAAATGATATAGAACTAATAAATATTACCTATATGTGAGGCATATTCGGTGCGTTTCCTCATAACAACCCCGCAGAACCGGCACAGATACAGGCGCGCGTCGTGAACTGTCTTCAAATGCCGCATCATCGCGTCTGCTTCACTTATCATTTCTTTTTCTGAACCTGTAAGATGAGAATTATAATGTGAAATAAATACAGAGATAGCAAGTAATATTGGTCAAAAAATAGTCATTCATAGAACTCATTATACACAAAGTATACTCATAGTGAAATGTCTAAATAATTAAACGGTACTCAATTCTAAGCCACGCTGAATTGGATACTTGCGATAATCACTACATAGTCGCTATCCGCCGTCCGTATGTCCCTACGTATGCTTAGATCTTTAAGTTGTACTTAGATATCTATCTAAGTACAACTTTTGAGTGTGTGTGTGAGTAGTACTCAAATCTTACAATCTCTGTCATTTTGCAAAGAACTATAATTGGGTATTTGCCACTCCACTCCAATACTGAAAGGTTATCTTACATCAAACCTTTCAGTATTGGAGTGGAAAGTCACTCAAATTGAACTTGAATAATGTCAGAAGTTACGGCAGCCAAAGTCAAGTCAATCAAAGTTAAGTCGCAATCAAAACCGATATGTATTTAAATTGAACTCGAATAATGACAATGTCCCATCAGAAAGTCCAATTCAGATTCAAGTCAAAATTTGACTGCACCGGTTGGCTGGGCAAATGGCTGCCGCGTCACGTGTTGCACTTCAATTCCCGCTCGGAACAACTCGTATGATCCACAGATTGTTGTTCCGGGTCTGGCTATCATGTGTATGTGAACTTGAATGTTTGTAAACGCATCTATGACACAGGAAAAAAATCCTAGTGTGGGGTTACGTTTAAAAAAAAAACACAATCGAGCCAGGGTCGAAATTAAATCAGTCTAAACGAAGTTTACACCGAGTGATAATGAAATTACCATTCTTCTCACAGAGTAGACACTTGAACTTGTCGTCATGCGGAGCGACTATCTGCAGCGGAGTGGTGGGCCGCGCCGAGCTACTCACTGACTTCACGCGGAACATCTCGCCAGACTCCACCTTTATGAATGCTCCACCTAAAACAAACAAATGAAAATTGTAGTATGTCCATCGCACGCCTGTCTCCCATGGGGGTAGGGCAGCTTACATATAGGTATCAACAGTCATTAGTGTATTCATGCATGCTCATCGGTTAAGATTACTTTTAATTCGGCCCTTCATTAATATATCGCCAATCTGGTCAGTATGTGTCCCCGTCGAGGGCGCCCTCTGCCGACCGCCCCATTCATATCAGCTCTATGTACTTCTTTTGTTACTCTACAATCATCCGTTCTACATGTCCAAAGCAATGTAAGATTAATATAATAAGATAATCAAATATAAATTTGATTTTGGTGGGGGTGAATTTAAATTGTGATGGATTTCTTGTAACCCTAGTCTATTTACTCCATTTAACAAAACACCAATTTAACATTTTTCACTGTTTTGGTGTAAATCCCAACAGTAATAAATATGTTTTTTATGGAATGGGACCCCAAAGGAGCAGACGGGTCACCTGATGGTAAGCAATTAGCGTCGCCCATGGACACCCGCAACACCCGAGAAGTTGCAAGTGCGTTACCGACATTTTGGGGGGTTTGAGAATTGAAAATCAGAGGGGGTTTGAGCCTCTGGTAACCTTACTCACAGGACGCAAGCATTGTTTCACGACGGTTTTATTTATTAATAATTTGTATATAACAACGCTTTTTCCAAGATACGAGATTCATTACACCCGCGGGATTAAACGACCTGCGGGATAGCAATTTCTATATACTTTTACTATATATGAGAATCTCTTTTTTGGAAAGTCGGTTAAAAATATAATAAAGGCTACCTCACTTACCTTTTTCCTGCGCGGCGGCTATGATGGCGTTCGCAGTTTCCTCGTCACCCGACACTTGCAGCTCTATCTGAGACTCGTCGTTGGAATCTGCTAACAGAGTTATTTTATTTTTTTATGGGATAGGAGGCAAACGAGCAGACGGATCACCTGATGGAACACGGAGATAACATGATAACGTCACGGGGCAAATACAACCTAACTTGGGAATCGGATATGAGTCCCTTACTTAGCTGTTACATACACTTGCAATTGTAGGGCTATATTAAATCACGGGCCTACGGATGGCGAGCACGGGTGACTCGCCGTCCGACCAGAACCAGGCCCGAGCGTACGCTGCCGAGCGTTCCGCGCGCGCCTCAAGGAGCCATCAGACCACCATGGATGGAGCCCAACAGGGCTCATGCCGACACAGAACCGCGGAGGGCTTAACGGGTTGCCGGGGCTCCAGCTCGTGCAGGAGTAGGAACGGGGTGGTTTTTTTTAGTCAGTAATAGTCTGACACTCCCTCTCGCTTCACCCGAGCGGGAGAAGTCATTGGATGACTTTCTCCACTCAAAAAAAAAAAAATTGTATTTACCACTCAAAAAAAAGGGCTACTTATATCGCATGACTTCTCTGAGGGTGTGTCAGACTCTTACTGACTAAAAACTACCCTGTTCATACTCCTGCCCTTCAAGCCGCAGCCCCGGAAAACTGTTAAGTCCTCCGCGGCTCCGTATCGGCATCAGTCCTATTGGGCTCCATCGAGCGGCGAGCAACCCATGCTCGCCGTCCGCAGGCCCGTGTTTACGGTGGCCGGAGATCGTCTCGCGATCTCGGAGCGTCCCGCCCCCTCCTTAGCTAGCATGACTGCTTCGCAAAAGGAGGAGACGGCATCCCAGTCCTATATTATTCTCTACGCTACAGTCTGCGTCCTTATTCGGCTCTTACGACATCCACAGCAGGAGTAGACAGATATATTTGTTTCTATAACACGGTAAGGTCCGTACCTTGGCTGTCAGCGTGGTCGTGCGTGTCCCCGGCGTCTGCCTGGTCGTCGTCGGGCACGACGAGTGATATCTCGCCGCCCTCGTATATAAACTTCTGGCCAGTCACCATTCGCAGTATCGAACCATTCTCGCTGTCCACTACTATTGTGTCTGTAAATTATAAAATAAATAATATTATTTCTGCAAATCTATATTTATAGTCTTATATGTATAATGTATATGTATAAGTTATAACATAACATCACGCCTTTTATCCCCGAAGGCAGAGGTGCACATTATGTCACTGTACAATGTAACACCCACTTTTCACTATTTATATTACGAGTCCCATGTAATAGGGGGTGAGTCTATTGCCATATACCGAGCACATTTCCAGACTCCGTGCTACTACTGAGATTTTTATAAACCCCGTAATACTTTGCCAGACCCGGAAATCGAACCCGAGACCCCTTGCTCGGCAGTCGCACTTGCCACCACTCGGCCAACGAGGCAGTCTATAAAACGTAACGCTTAAACCAATAGTAGGTGAGCAGAGCGAGTACAACCGCATGGCAGTCGGACTAGAAGACCAAAAAATAAATACTTACGGCCTTCTTCATCCTCATCATCATCATCATCTTCTTCTTCTTGTTCATTCAGCATCTGTAGCTTGCCAAATATAAATTTATGGGGGTCTGGGTTACCCCCCTCTAGGGGTTCTATGTCCAGATAATGGGTCCCTTCAGGCCTTGGAGGGGGTTGTAAGCTCTCCACTTGTAAGAGAAGTCCACTACCTGCTGAACTTACAGGAACCACTGGAAAACAATGTGGAGATTAGGAGAAGTGATTTTTTTTTTAAACGGTGCCCCACACTAGGATTTTCTCCTGTGTCGTGGGTGCGTTTACAAACATACAAGTTCACATAGGATCACGCAGAGTTGAATATTAGCCAACTAGGCAAATTCAATACTTTTTCGAACTGTCAAAAAGGACAGTTTACTGTGAATTTTGTACGACATTGTGTATTGTGACGTCATGGGTTTTTAGCGCCAAACAGCATATTTATTTCTTAAAATTTTTGGTTATAAAATCAATTAATGAAAATGTGATTATATTTTAATATTTTATTACTTGTTCCGTGTGAAAATCGGACTGGCGACACTTTGCGCGGCAACCAGTTGCCCTGCCACCGCGGGAATAGTGGTACTAATATTATAAATGAAGTTTTTTTTTTGAAGGTGGAAACATCTTCCAATGACTTCTCCCGCCTGGGTGAGGCGGGAGGGAGTGTCAGACTCTTACTGACAAAAAACCACCCCGTTCCTACTCCTGCACTTCGAGCCGGAGCCCCGGTTACCCGTTAGGCCTTCCGCGGCTCCGAAATGCGGAACTTTCAGTGTATGTTTGTAACTCAATCACGTCAATACGGCTAAAGGGTTAGGGTTGAAATTTGGAACAGGGATAGATTGTGGCTTTGAATAACACATAGGCTCTTTATGACACGGGATCGCGAGCGAAGCCACGGGCAGAAGCTAGTCTAAAATAATCTAACTTACCTTCATCAATTTCCATGGTATGATCATCGGATATTTTATCAGTTTTTCCACTATCTTTTTCATTCATCCTTCTCAAAGCGGTTCCGGATAAAAAGTCTTTTGGCAAGGAGTTCACATCAAAACTCATTATGGCTTTCTCATCGCCACTTGTTAGGCTATCTATATCATCTTTCAAAGCGTTTGATAATGAATTTAATATTGAATTTGTATCAATTTGTTGTGTTTCTATAGTTTTCGCAGTTGTCGTTTTGATCGTTTGTGTCAAAACTGATGATCCAACTGTTACTTTTAAGTTTAACGTTGATGCTGTGGTGGGCTGAAATAATTAAATAGAGATAAGTTTGCTAATAAGCTTATATATAAGTATGACCAAAGGCCGCTTCTCACACAGAGAAGGTTTGAGCATCAATCACCATGCTTGTTCAATGCGGGTTGGTGATTTCAAACTTATAATTGGTAATTATAAGCCCAGATTACCTTCACTGTTTGTCTGTGGTGTCTAAATAATCTTAGAAAGGACATATAACTCGGAAAAAGTTACATTGGTACTTGCCATTGGTAGGTTTCTAACCCTCATCATGCATGAGAAGCATCTTAAACCTCCGGGCCACCACAACAAACTTGTGATGTAAAAGTATTAAATTATAATCATCAATAGTACTCATACTAAGCTGGCCTTCGCTGAGCTTCACTGACAAATAGACTGACAGACAATACAATTTTGACGTTTCAAAAGTGCCTAAATAAAGATTAATTGAAATAAATGCTTTGACTTTGACATTGACTGAGTGAGAGAAAGTCCGGACTTTGTGGCTCCTTTACGTGCCATAATATCCACGCTTGAAAGGCAGGTTGGAGATCAGTTTAAAAGGTTTTGAGAGAACAGCACAGAAATACAAACTTCTCTTCTCTCTCTCTTCTTTATAATATTGACCTACATTAATATTAATATGTCCACCTCTGGCTATTTATTTAAGGAAATGACGAATGAAGATGTACTTTACCTTTATCTGTGGTAATACAATATTAGGTTTAGAGAACGCCGCCAATTTCCCAACTTTTAGCAACAAATCTGGTGGTATCGGTTGTAATTTTGATGCTGGCAACACCAATGTCTTTCCGATAGCCGATTTCGGTTTCTGCGGTGTCCCATATTCATTTTTTTCATAATTTTCATAATCCAATTTGTAAGCTGTTATCGATGATTTGAATTGTTCCAGTAATTCTGATTTCATTGTTTCTAATCTGGAAAAGAAAACGTTATACATTTCCAATATAAAAATCTTATAATGTATAATATAAAAATTATTGCATAATGTGTTGCAGAAATCTATTGAACAGCTGAACCGATTTCACTAATTCTTATACTGTTCGGTTTTCCCGGGTTCTTATTTAAGAAAAAAATAACAAAGATGCATATAAAATTTTTCAAGATAGAAAAAAATTCAGGGGTTAAAAATTCTGGTAATTAATAATTTAATAATACCTACATACAATAACTATTCTTGTTTCGAGTCTGAAGCAACTACGTAAATAAAACTCATGTTTTAAAAAAAAGGTTGTAGGCTAAGTGTGCTTTCCGATCAAAGCAAAGGGTTCGGTTTGGCTTCCCAGGTTAGGTAAAGTTATGACTTTACCTGAACTAAAGAACTCAATATTTTGTATTCTTTTCATTTATCCATAATAACACAGAGACTGGAATTGTGCCCAGTAATTAATGGAAATAGGTATTTTTAAGCGCCAACTAAATAGTACCTATGTGGATCTGTCTACCTACACTCTAAAGGTATTTACAATACTACATTTACCTGATCCGAGTGGTATCATAATCGCAGCAAGTTTTCCAGCACTTCTTACATAAAACATCAGTATGAACTTTCTTGTTTTGGACGGGCTTCTCAACTATCTCACTTAGGATATCTGTAATTTTCTTCCCCGAAGGTAAAGTGCTCTGAAAACATTGATTTGTTATATTTATTTCATGTAGGTACTAAGGGCAGACAGCCGCATTTCAAACATACTACTCCTTTCTATATCTTTATTATTAGTACTAACTACTTCCGCGCGGTTTCACACGCTCTGCTAGCGATAGCTATAGCCATCCTCGATAAATGCGCTATCCAACACAAAAAGAATTTAAAATTCAAAGAAGAAACTCAAATCAGACTTGTAGTTACGGAGATTAGCGCGTTCAAACAAACAAACAAAAAAGAAACTCTTCCGCTTTATATACTTAATAGTTTAAGATATAAGATAAGATTTCACAAATTCATTGTTTTGATATAAAGTCGAAAGTTCAATAAAAATGTTGACTCTGCTCTCTGCTTACCCAATGGAAGACAGGCAAATTTTTTCTTCGATGAATTTATATATTTGAGTAGCAGAAACAACATAAAGATTCGCAAAAATTAATAAAATGTGATTTGTGAAGTCATAGTTATTCAAATTAGGTATTTTTTGAAAATTCACAGTAAATAGTGAATGTTAGAATATGTCTGAGAGCTTTGTATGATTTTGTTTTACGTTTAACAAGACTGACACGTTATCCCGCCGGGTTCAATGAATCAACCGAGCAACTCAGGCCCTCTGGTATCACTTAGTTGAGAAATCTCATAAAATATAGATAGTAGATAAAAATTTATAACTTCAGGCCATTCATACAATAAATATGCATTCAGCTTAGCCTTTTGAAGAATAAAATGTCTGGCAAGACTTACATCATTTCCAAACAGGGTGATGGCATTTTTGAGTGCCACCGATGCTTTAGCATTGCAAATAAAGCAACATTGATTCATGCTGAAAGTATAAAAATTATACACATTAATTTAAAAGTTCGAATAAAATTACTTTTTTTTATTTTAACTCGTCGAGTACCGGTTTTGTAGACACAATTATAGAACAATAGGTTGCGGTCACCGGTGACCGCTTGGTGTTTGACAGTTTAATAAGCTTCCGCCAGTGGATTTACCAATATTATTATAATAAAATGTAGTGTGTGCTTTCAGAGTTATTTCAGACTAAAATCAATCTTGGTATTAATGTTGGGAAAATGTTAAAGTTAAAGTCACAGTCAAAGTTGCTAACTGTTCTAACATGTATTCACCCCTTTTCTGTATCTATTCACCCCTTTCCTGTATCTATTCATTCCTTTTCTGTATCTATTCACCCATTGAATATTATTTACCACGTTTTTCAGTAATCATCTTCATTATTTCAGCCAATATATAGTAATATCGTCTTACAAACTACAAATCTATGTGAAGTTGTAATAGTTCTTATTCTAGAATAGATCTTGTATCATTAAACACATGTCCGCAGTGGGTTAATTGATGTCAATGAGAATAAATCAAGTTGCATTGTTTTATTTCATACCGATTCAAAATGTCATTGTTCTTCATAACATGTATTCGAGTTAATTATTATGTTTTCGGCTTACTTTACTAGTTTCTAGAGGCTCATGATTATGATCCGCTTGCATAGCTTGAAACTAGTCGAGTTCCTCGTCAAACAGTTACGTAAGTAAGTCCAAAACATCATATTTTATTAAGTATGAGTCATGAAAATTTTAAGATGAAGTATTTGAGTATTTGTTGCATCCATAATGTACACCAAAAAGGGTGGTCCGAAATGCAATAGTCATAATTACAAAACCCTCTCGGTAACAATAGCAGAAATTATTTGATTACAGAGTATTTTACAGCAATTCTCATAGATTACATAGATAAAGAAAGATCTGAGAAAACAAATTTTTATTGTATTGTATTCAATATTCAATATATTTTAATGGAAGGTTCTATTGCTAATTATTGATATTAATTTTTAACTTCAAATACACTGCAATTAATTTAGACGAATGTGCATGGACGAAGTAAATAGAAAAAAATTGATAGTTACAAGACAAAGTATGAAAAGTAGTGTTTTAATCATAAATTTGTAGTAAAATAATTTCTCTCAAATACGATAATCGAATAACACATTTTTAAATAATTACTTTGTAGAAATAAATTTTAGAAAACTAAGTTTTACCCATTGTTTACATCGTTATCAGTTATTGATAATTTCAAAAACATTACTACTTTTCGAGTAAAACTAAGGAATTTATTCAATGAATAATAGTATTCATTGCTATTTCATACAATACAGCAGCCATTTTGTTGATCTAGATATTATACAATCGCAATTACAGCGAAAAATTACAAGAAATCTTCATAAAATCCATTTACCTGATCGTTTAATCCAACAATCTTCGAGCAAAATTTTAGTTTTTGAAGGTTTTCACACGATTTCATAAATAATGTTGTCAGCAATGGAATGAGCCGCAAGCAGCCACCATTACGTTTATAACATTTTCTAATACTTTTTTTCGCCACCAGAGGCGCTTTGTAAATGTTTCCGGTTAGTTTGTTCTCTATTACATCTTGTCTTTATACTAAATCGTAAACTTAAATTCTGTGTTAACTAAATGATAGTACCTTGAAATAAAATTAAAACTGGATATTTTATAGCCTTCCAACTGCAGTAAAATTAATGAGACTTAATTTAAAAATCAAGTTTAGGTCAGCGTAATCTGAAGAAGAAAAGAGTTCACAAAGAACTAGGGAATTTAATCCAAAAATATATTAAACTGCTACTCTATTTTATTAAATTGGGGGAATGTGTAGTAAGTACCTACTGGCGGTCCATCTCTGGGCCGAAGATCTTTGTGAAGCCGTTTGTCCATTGCGAAAAGTACAACTTCGCAAAAAAAAAATTGACGCGGTGATAGCAGGAACTAATATTGACTTGAATTGAATCACCCACTTCGGACCATATCCCATGAATAAACAATAATCCGAACATATTATCCCATATTTTTAACCTCGATCAAAATAACAAATATCTAAACCAAAAGTGTAGTGTGTTTGTCACTGGGTCGATACTAGCGACCTCAATTATTCCAAACTCTTTTTTACCAAGCTGTACGTGATTAATGCGAAAGTAGCTCTAGTTGTTTGGTTTAGGTATGTTTGTCAAAAAATACTAAAGTTATTCCAAGTAAATAAAACTTGAGAGTTTGAAACACGGGGATTCCCGAACTATAGACGAGTAGAACAGTTGTAGTTCGAGGTCCCGGGCGATTGCCCTATTCGTCATCCCAGCCGCCACTGTCGCCTACGATCACTGTTTCCGACTATTAATAATTTTGAAAATCTCATTATTGACTGCCTCGTTGTCAGAGTCGTCGCAAGTACGACTGCCGGGCTAGGGGTCTCGGGTTCGATTCCCGGATCGAGCAAAATATTACTGGGTATAAAAAAAGGGTAGCACGGAATCTGGAAATTTGCCCCGTATATGAAAATAGGCACAACTCCTATTATATGGGACTCATAACATACATAGTGAAAAGTGGGTGTTGTTACATTGTACAGTGGCATTACGTGCCGTAATGTGCACCTTCACCTACCCCTTCGGGGATATGACGTGATATTATGATAGGCTCATTATTAATTAAATGTCACCAAGACTTTAACCATCTTTAATATTTAACAAGGGTTTTTGATATTGACTACTAGAATAACACCAGTCGTTATTTTAAATTTCATGCTACTATTAATGAACCGCCTGAGATTTTTTTCTGAAACCAAAGAGAATCCAGTAACACTGCTCTACCGGAGACACGAATAATTCAATCCTAATCCTAAGTGCAACCTCGCGGAGAACCTAACGGGTTACCGGGGCTCCGGCTCGAAGCGCAGGAGAAGGAACGGGGTGGTTTTAAGACACTCTTACACTCCCACCCGCCTCACCTAGGCGGGAGCAGTCATTCGATGATTTTCCCCCCTTAAAAAAAATAAAAAATTCTAAGAGCAACAACAAAAAAAAAACAAAATGGTATAAAATAAAACAAATGTGTTTTACTTCTTTCTTTTATTATTTACTAGTTAATCAAATATACAATTTACATGGTTATACAAGTCTTATGTTGACACATGAAATATTACAAATTAGGTACTATAGCTCCTTATTTCGCGTAAGGCCTGCGTTACACAGACAATGGTCTTTTAGCAATTGTTACAAACTATCAGCCAAAATTAAATCTCAAGATCTCAAAGGAGAACGGCAGATTTCGTACCGCTTTGCTAAAAAAGATTTGTCATTGTTTTGCCTTGGGCAATTGGGTAGCTATAGAATCCTCTAAATACGTTATGTTAGCATATTTAATAGATTTTTAGAACTTGGAAAGCCCTAGAAAATCTCATATTCAATAATGATAAGAAGCAATCAACAAAACGGCTACATATTAAATAAAAACAAACCGCGATTGACGTTTATAAAGTTGCCATGCGTAAACATGAAATCAGAGTATATTGAATGTCGCTATTTCATAAACTCATTTATTTTAATATCAATGGAATATTTTCCTTTCCATTTCAAACATTTTTTATAAGTAAATATCATTATTTTAATTTCATTTTGTGAGATCTATATGGATTATTAACGATAATTAACATTTTCACAAACTTGAATATGGCAATGTTGAACTGGTATTTGACATTTGTTGTTGAAGACGATTTGTCAATGTCAAGTGCGCCTTGCTGTTGGTTTCGAATGCGGTGTTATGATGTGTTTGTACAAATTGGAAGTCATTTTATTCATCTGGTGATACTTTGAGTTGGGCAGCCGTTCCTCCGTAGCCGAAATTGCGAAAATACACTTATTTTCATTTGTGCATAGTGTGTTGTATTTTGTCGCGATGACGAATTTACAGTGCATTAATTACAACCAGAGTTTGTCGCATGAGACGGCATGCTCTAGGAAATGAGAGTGAAGACTAGACGTGGTCAACAATATCCCATTGTGGACTTATCCTAGAGATGTAAGTAGGTACTTACCTATAATTACACATGACGTATCGAAAGTCACCTTGTTGCCTAAATAAAGGGGGCATAGTGTTATCTACCTATAATGTATCATTTTATTCTAGATCTCTCCTACCGACCATATTTGCCATGCTTGCTGGCAATTAGCAATGTATTGGGATGTTCCTGAAAGTATGTCCAGCAAACAAACTGATCATTGACATGTCTGTGTCGTATGTGGGCATTCCATTGCAAGGATAAGGTGACGCAGGGGTTTAATTGAAGGCGCCAACGAACAGGAGCAAAGACTAGCTCATATAGTATCTGATTGGATTCAGCCACGAAAGGTAATAATTTATTGTATTAACCATATACTATTATCATATAATTTAAAGTCAATATGACATTCTAATAATATTACTTTTTTTAGCTTACTTCCAATGATGAAGATCGTGTTCCATGCTGGCTGAGAGCCTTAACAAGAGTCGGATCTATAAGACCACAACCTGACATACCACCTCATAGTGTTCACTATCAGGATGTAATGTGTTATGTAAACATTTAAAAAAAAAAAA